CTTCCTCCCTAATTCTCCTCCTACACACATACATGCACAATTAAATGTCAGGAGGTTGACCAAGTTGTAGCTAACACATGTCGATTATTATTATTAGCAGTAGTTTTACTTGCTGTCTCCTACAGAACAAAAGGAAAGTATATATATATATATATATATATATATATATATATATATATATATATATATATATATATATACACACACACACACACACACACACACACACACACACAGGAGAGACTGACACATAACCATAGCAAATAGAGGAAAGATTTTTCTTAATGAAGGCAGTCAAAGATATTTGAAATGATGTTCTTGAAAACAAGCCTAAAAGAACATACTACTACTCAATTCTCTAAAATCTATTAAGATAAAGTATTAACAAATTATTACTTATTCTTCTCACTGGGGCAGACATGTTACCAAATGAAAAATTTATTATGAATTAAAAAGGAATATGAATAAATAAACAAGGTTGTTTTACATTTTAAAATCCCATCTCCTTTAAAAACACAGCATAAAGAAAGAAAGAAAGAAAGAAAGAGCTATTTTTTTTAAATTTTCCCCTTCCTTAAAAGATCAAATATGGAAAAAACAAAGATTCAGTAATTGAAGAAAAAGCGACTTAAATTAATGTCTTTTTTTTTTTTTTTTTTTTTTATAATTTCACTTGAATTATGTTGAACGTCACAAGTGTCTTTAAGGAATTAACTTTGGATGCAGAAAATGTTCGAGAATGCTGTCAAGATTTGTTAGTTATCCCCTTAAAAATAGAGATTTTTTAAAGTTTGGTGATGCATTTTTCTTCATTTCATGTTACAAACAAACTTGTTTTATGGGTAATAAACAAAATGTAAGTGTAAGTTAAGTATTATTAACATTTTTAGTAAATAACTCAAATTTTATTTTTAAAATGTTTCGTTTTTCTACACCTGAAAAAATACAGAGATAATTTCCTCAACTGTTTTACACTCATTTTTTTTTTTTTTTTGATGGAGAAAAAAATGGTGAATGGTAAAAAGAGCAATTAAAAACAATTTTCCTCTCAAGCTGGCTATGTTTGAAGACTAAAAAACAGGACGTTCGTGGACCAATAAAAAAAAGGAGTCTAGCAAAAGTAGCAAGCAGCCAGTCGGCCTCAACAAAAGTAGAATCACAATTATTAACGCACACAGGTTGACATAGGAACAAAGTTCACTTAATTGCTTTTTTTAGTTAACGCTAAAAATATAAAATAATGGAATCTAAGTTGTAGAAGATTGTTTTCTCAGAAAAAATCAGTTTTGTGCGCGCACTTTGCAGTGCGCAATAAAAATAAATAAATAAAAATGTAAAAAAGGTGCGTGAAACAATTCTTTTTTTCTTTTTCGCCAAATCGACTGTCAGTCAGTGTATCTGCCTCATTCATTAAATCTTCCCTTCAAAAGTTCTCAATGTGAAACTCGTTTGTATTTCCGTTGTTATTTTGTCTAAAACTAAAATACAACTCTTTCATTTATTTATTTATTTTTTTTTTGAATATCCAGAAGAATGAACTCCGACTGACATTATTTATTAAAAAAAATATTACTTGTTTCAGCAGATCAACCATCAAACCTGACATTTTAAAACCAGTTTCTGTTTAACAAAAAGTTAGAATGAGGTTGAGAGGAGTTTTTTTTTTTTTTTTTTTGTGGTTTGTCTATCTTCGTCGCGTTAATTGATAAATAGATAAAAAATAAAAATCAATATTATCCACAACACCACAAGTGATTCAAGCTTTCAAACAACGAATTGAATGACAATATTGTCATGATGCCATGTTAGTATTACTTAACTTAACTGTTAGTATTTAAAAAGAGCTGAGAGAAGAGTAAGACATTTTATTTTTAGAGAGTCTGGTATTTACAGCTTCAACTGTACAACAGACCAAGTGCAAGAAGAGAAAAACTAAAAACATATTTGAAGGTAGTTTGACATAAAAAGTATATTAGCATAAAAATGAAAGTAAAAAAAAATAATAATAAGATATGAATACAGGTTAGTTACTGAAAAGTGAAACATAAATAATTATAATCGTTATTTAGTAACACTTGAATGCGCCACAGTAAATAAAAATACAAAAAACAGTACTAGTACTTGAAGCCTGTCTTCATTAGCATACTAATAACTAGAGAGTGTTTTGTTTTTTAGTATATTTTTAAAGCTAAACACTGAATAAAAATAATAATAATCGTTATTTAGTAGCACTTTTAAATGCATCACACTAAAATACAATTTTACTTTTAGCTTGTCTTCATGAATAAAGAATTTATCAATGAATAAAGAAAGCTAGCTAGTGTGGTTTTTGAGTAAGTTAAACATTGAAAAAGGCATATATCATATAATGCCTCACACAATTAGACATGTGTACGCCAGTTTTCAATGAAAATGTGCCTGGGTAACATTGATTGAATATGCTGCATCATACCATATGCATTTTTTCTTCTTTTTATTAAGCACTGACTAGCTGAGAAATTCGATAAAGTGCACATTTGCAGGAACTTTTACTTAAATCATCCTTCACAAATTTTATTGAAATCTGTGTTATCGTTGTTTAAGTTTTTTTTGTTTATTTGTTTGTTTAACTACATTACAATTCCTTATAGGAAGAAAAAAAGTTATATAAAAAAAAAATTCAAAATGAAATGAAAATAATAATAAAAAAAAAAAACCTTGAATAAAAAGACAAAATTCCAGTCTTGACTTGAAATTGATTTTTAAACATTTAAAAAATCAATTTTGTAAAATCTCAAACAGTACGCTTTTAGTATACAAGGCCAAAGAATAAGGGAAGTGATATTTAAAAAAAAAGAAGACTAGGTTGCGTCAATCTATCAAATGCGGAGAGCCTGATGTGTATAGTTGGTTTTAGCGTTTCAAATGATTTTTTCATAAATACTGGTTTATCTCCCTTACGGTATTTATCGTTATTTCTAGTGCAGATAAACCTAACTTTAGTTTTACTTTTTCTTTCTTTCTTTTTTTTTAATTTTATTCTCGTTTTTTCAAATCGAAATTGATCAGAAATGAATTAAACTTCTTTTTCATTCGCGGGAAAATGCTTGAAATACATATTATTGCAACTATGTCCATAAATGAGTTGGGTATTTCATTTTTATGCAAAAAAAAAACAGTTTGAAACGTCAAAACCAACTATAAAAAAAGTCAAACTAATTAAATATACAAATACACAAAAATTCTGCAGATTAACAGAACTTAAGTGAAAGAAAAACCTCAGTGAGTTATTTTTTAAATTTTTATTTATGTACATTTGGAAAAGTTAGATATTGTTTTATTAAAATTAAAAGAGAAAATAATAACTGACGAAGTCAAGTAAAAGATGAGAATTTTAATTTTGTCATCAATATTTTCATTTGATTTTTAATTTTTCAAAATTGAATTTAAAATGTCTACCTAATCAAGAAGAAAGTTTTATTACTTTTTTTTAGTTTTAATTCAAGACTTTATGTACATATTTGAACTCAGAACTAAATGAGTTAAAAGTTTTAAATAAAAACCATATCCAAGAAAAGAAAAGGGTTACTTAAAAAATCTTTTTTCTTTTTACATTTTTGTTCTCATAAAAAAAAATCGGCATTTTTAGGCACACTTTTTTTATGTTACGTAACCTTATATATATTTTTTATGTAATTTTATGGGTACTTCTTTTTTTCCCTAAAAAAAACGTTATATCCAGCGATTGTCTTTAGATTTTTAGTTTCAGTAATTTATTACTTAACACTAACAGTGAAAAACAATCAAAATATGGGAGACTAAATAAATAATAATTTTTAAGCGGTATTATTTTAAAAAGTCAAGCGTTTAATAAAGAAAAACATAAAACGTTATTTAAAACTAAGTAATGTTTTTTTTAATCTTAATTTTAAATAATTTAAACATTTATTAGAATTAGAAGAGAAAGAAAACTAAAATTCTTATTTTTTTTAAATACCATGAAAAATTTTAAAATATGGAAAAAAATTGTTCCCTTCAGATTTCTTCCAGAGAATTGAAAAGTTTACTACAAAAAGATTTTCATAAAATAATTCTTCACATTATCAAGTTCTAATATCGTCCTTCTTTTTTGTTCTGCTAGTTTACCGATATTTTTTTCTTTTTTTACCGCTTTTCCACTCACTTAAAAAAATGAAAAAAAAATGAATATATATTACAAATAAATTAAAATATCTTTCTCTTCTTCTAGCTTTTCCTTTCTTTATTTTCTTGTTCTTATTTTTTGCCTGCCAAATATTTCTAAATTTCTCGACCTTTTTTTTTCCAGTCATCCCGCTTTTTTTTATAGAGCGTAAAAAAAACCTGAAGTTTCTTTCAGTGGGGAAAAATAGTGGTGGGGGCTTCATCATCTTCGTGTTATAAATGCCAAAATCTTTAGTCAAGAAGAGAAGAGTATTATTAAAAAAAGTTTTCAAGTATTACTGGGATCTTATTTTTCTTGAAAAATAGATTTTCAAGGAGGATTTAAAAATAAAAAAAAATGTATTTGATTAAACTAAAGCAAAACTACTTAAATTTCGAAACCGATTGTCCATAATTCAAAATTTGGCAGTTTTTTGGGGGAGGAGCGGGGTCAAGGGGTTAAGATAGTTTTTTGTTTCATACAGATTTAATTAGTTTTTTTTTATTTAAAAAAGAGAAAAATCGAAAGAACTTAGTGCAAATTATTCCCTTTTTTTTTCTATAGAGATTTTTTAAAAGATGGTCACATGGTTAACTTAGTTAAAAATACTTAATTTTTAATGAATGTTTTTATTATTTGTTAAGGTGTTTATTAGCCTTTCCTTATAGAAAGAACATTTTTTTTTAATGAAGTTTTAAATAAAAATGATCTGTAACTGATATTGAAAGAAATTCTGACATTTTTGACACTGTCACACACAAATATCATAGTAACTCGTAGTACTACTAATAATTAGTTTTTTTTTTTTTTTTTTTTTGCTATGCTGTGGTGCGCTTACCGGATTTAACAGCAGAGACGGCCTCCTCGGCTGAAACCCAATTGGGTTCACGATCCGGGTACGGGTGAAACGGTTCCATGGTACCGGCATAGTAGCTCCGACTAGGACATTTCAGCGGACCCTGCAGCAGTTTTGAGATTCGGCCGAAAGCTCGCAGGGACGACATGATACCGTATTGTCTTTTTAAAAAAAAATGGTAAAATGCTGAAACAGAGATGACAGTGGTTGTTATTGTTGATGTTTGCGCTAGCAGACGGTGTCTAGCAGCTGCACTCACTCGACCGAGTGTGAGTGCGAGTAAAAGTTCGAGCGCAACTCAATGCTGTCGAAATGTAGCAGCAGCAGCGATCGAGAAAATCTTATGACGTCACACAAAATCTACACGGATTCAATGTCACCTTCTTATGAGTTCCGACGAGAGAAGCGCGCTTTTTCGTTTTTCTTACTTCGCCGTTTTTCTTAAGTATCCAGTTTAAATATTTGCAGAGGCGGTTTTTTTTTTAAAGTAAAATCTTATATGTACCGCCTCAGAAAAAAGTTATCACGCCGATCAAGAAGGGATTCTAAAACAAATTATGATAGTTTGGTCATTTCTAACCAGCTTTTGAAGAGAGAGAGAGATGGACTGAAAATATTTCAGCACACTCCTTCGTAAAAAAAGAAAATAAGTGTTTTTTTTCTTTTAATTCAAGTTGGTTCAGAAGGTAGAAAAAATAAATCAAATTCATTCAAAACTAAAAGCTAGGTAAGATGAATCAAAAAACTAAAAAAAAAAAAACAATTTTAAAATTCTTCATCCTCTTCACAGAGATAAGAGAAAGTCAATAATGCACACTGACTAATCTTTTAAAATGCCATAGAAGTGCTGCACCATAACAAAAATTCTCCCTATTTTTCTAATATTAAATACATGTTTTTAGACTTTTACATTTGATGTAATTGTAAAACATGAAAACGTTTTTTATTCATTACAGTACACACACACATGCCTATCTAATCAACTTTCATAATCTAATTATAACTGTGGTTATAGGGATTTCAGGGGTTAGCTCTGATAGCCTTATTATTAGAATTTAATTTGGGAACCACCACTACAATGTTTTACATGTTCACATTCTTGCCTCTTTTCTGATCTATACCCCCAACTTTTTCCCCTGCTTTCAAATCCGGCTCCCAAAGCCTTGATCCTTATCAGAGATAACAATATACAGTGTAACCCGGATATAAGAGACCCGGATATAAGAGAGATTTTCTCTGGTCCCAAATTAGAGCCTGTGTTAATGTAAACAAAATAGACCAAACCCGGATATAAGAGACTTCTTCTCCGGTCCCCGACAACTCTCTTATATCCGGGTTACACTGTATTTTCTAAGGAAGGAGAGAGCTGGAAAATATAAAAACAATTTTGACCCTCCTTACCCTGACTATTGTGCCATAAAGTGGGGGGTTAAGGCACACAACTTGTCTATCCTTGCTTCCAAAAAGCTGCTCCCAAACCTTTGATTCTTCTCAGAGATAAGAATATATTTTTTGATGAATTTGAGGTGGGGGGGGGGTGTAGTATAACAATTTTGGAGGGAAAAGTTCCCGATGATATTTCTGAGCCTTCTAATCTCGATATGTGCCTCTTTGGTAGTGAGTACTTGACACTATCTGAGATAACATCAGGTCCGCAATAGAACACAAGTCATCTTTGGAACCTATTACAAGAAAGAGATCTACCTGCTGGGCTCTAAAGACAGAACATCAGCCCTCTACTAAAAACTAATTGAGATCTGCTTCTATGCACCTAGAATTCTTATCATTGGCCTACAAACTCGATCAACTACAAAATTTGGATTTTCCAACAATTTCTTCCTCAACAAGAGCTCTGAAGAAATCTATGTGAGTGTTAACTCCTTAAGAACAACTTACTCGCTAAAAGAGAGAATTGTCCTCTCTAATCTTTCAAGCCATTGTTACTTTTATCAATTCTGTTGCATTTAACCTTAACCCTTTCATGTGGGAAAGCTGGCACAAATTTCCCAAATTATAAGGCATCACAAAGATGTCATATTGTCCAAAAGACATTAAATAAATGAAACATATTGAAGTAATAGAAAGAAATAGAAAAAGATACCAACTGCATCTCCAATTTCAAAGAGCTATATAGTTCAATCCTGCATTATGAATTCTTCAGTAACACAGTTTATATGCAAGTATCATAGAAAATCAAGTATGTCAGTATTCAAATAGGTTCCTATTAGTGAATACTGAGAAATAGCTCCAAAAGTGAATATTGACAAATAGTTCCCTAACATTGTTTTCTAAGGCTTTCCAAGCATACACCCCACTACATCAATCAATACACTGTCTACAACCGTTCTTTAAATGGACCAGTTGAGAAACATGAATGACACTTAATTACACTCAAAACATAAACCTGTTTCCACTACTTACAATAGTGGATATTGAACTTTTTTTATAATAGAATTCACTCAATGCAATACTTGACAACCAATCAAGGTAGAGGTTACTGCTAAAATGGTAATGATGAATGAAATATGTGATATGAATGAAAGAGGAGGTGGTATGAAATGAATATTATGAGGATAAGGAGGATAGATAACTGACACTTTGCTTGAAGAAGTTAAGATTGTAGTGTAAGGGGGTACTGTTAAAATGTTTATGATAAATGAGGTGTGTGATCTGAATGAAAAAAGAGGTGGTAGGAATTGAAGATTATGAGGATAAGGAGGATAGATAACAATTTACTCTTGAAGAAGTTAAGGGTTTTAATGTTATAGTTATGATGAATGAGGTGAAGTGAAGATTATGAGGGTAATGAATATAGATAAAAACTGACTCTTTACTTGAAGAATTTAAGGGGGTTACATATATATGTATGAAGTGGAGATTATGAGGATAAGGAGAATAGATATCAACTGACTCTTGCCTTGAATAGATTATGGTTGTAATGTTTATGGAAGCGCCCACTAAGTGACAGTTCTTGGAAAAAGTTGTCTAAATGGAACTATTTCTTTATCTTTGGAATAGGGGGGAAATGAGGATGTTTTAACTCTGCAGAAGTAGCATGGCATGTTCTACCTGTAAAGGTCTGAACTGGTGAAATAAAACAGTGGAATTCTTCTGAATATTTGCTAGGGAAATAATGATAGAGTAGCAGCAGGCTTACCACATTGCATTTGGAGGAAACTAAGTATTTCCCCAAGAAACTTGTCAATCACGTCAATGGAAACAACCTTTTGAGTAAGCTCCTTCTAGATTGACTGCAGATGTCTTAATTGTCATTACACATAGAATCAGTAAAGCACTTGATAATAATTTCATGAGAACAATCACCTTAGATATCTCAAAAGGCCTTTGACACGATGTGGTATAGATGTTTGCTATGACATCTCTGAAAGAGTTTTTTCAACTATCAAGTCTTTCACATCAGTTAGGTCCATGAAGGTCATTATTAATGGCCAGCCTCAAGCTCATGTGATTAATGCAGGCATACACCCAGGGCTCTTTCTTTAGTCCTACCCACATTCTGCTTTATATTAACTATCTGCCTAAGAACATTCTTCTTTTTTTTAATTATTTCACTCCAAGCAAGACAATAAAGCCACTAGGATGCAAGAAGTTAGTGAGTGTTAGAAAATATAAGAAAAACTACTATTAAGGAGAGAGGACAATATAAGAATTAAGAAGACAGAAGATAACAATTAGCATTGCATTTAAATTTTTGAATGTCAAAGTTGACTGGAAAGCAAGAAGCCTGAAGAGAGTTCCACAGGTGAGAAAGGTGAGAGAAGAAACTGTTAGTATAGAACTTACAGTTACATCTCAACATTTCAACTGTAAATGGATGAAACCTTGCCACCAATCTAATACTGCGCTTAAATTCATAAAGTCCAGGTGTTATAGAGGAAAATTCATCGGAACAATTACCATGAAAGTATTTATAGAAAAGGCACAGGGAAGCTACATTACAGCAGTGGGAAAGGGAGTGAAACCAAGATGCCAGCTCACAACTAATAACATTGCAGATTCTTCTTTGGATTTTATCATGAATCTCTAAATAGATAGCTGGAACACCAAACCAGATGTAGCAGCAATATTCAATGCATGGCAAATGATAGACTTTTAAATATGTAAGATAGATTTTGGCAAGAAAAATTGTCTAGCACAACATAGTGAACCAATTTTCTTAGCTGAAGACTTAGCAATTGATTCAAAAAACTCTTTCCACTTCATGTCAGCTGAAAATGTTAGTCTGAGAAGATGCAATGAGTCACTCTCTTGGAAGTTTGCATCAGCCATACTGATGGAAAATAAAAAGGGTTAAATGATTTTGAGGCATTAAAATTAACAAGTCACTCCTTGTTCTCAGATCATTTATAAATATATGTGCAAATGATACCTCTGTTTATGGGTTCATCTATATATATATATATATATATATAAAAGTGAACATAGAAGATGATTGCATATAGCATGAAACAGACTGTCGCCTCTAAGTGTTGACTTCTATGTTCACTTTTATATTTACACACGCTCTATCTCTGATATTGAGCACTTATCCCATAAATATAGCACATCTTAAGACTATATTTCTTCATATATATATATATATATATATATATATATATATATATATATATGTATGTATGTATATATGATCAGAGCCTGGCCACTGATCCATCCTCTGTCCTAGTTCTCACAATTCGATGGGGGAAGAACTGGCTTGTAACATTCAACTCATCCAAAATCAAACTAGTAATGTTTCATCACCACCAAGCAGACCCTGAGCTTTCTCCAGTCATCATGAAGTTTGTGCTCTTGATGAGACTTCTTGCCTTGAACATCTATTGAGACACAAAATCTCAAATGGAACTTGTATATATATATATTTTTTTACAATGGTGTCCACCCTGTACAAGGCCTTGGGGACACTCAAGGTAAAGTGTTACAGATTAAGAGGTACAGCTTATGCAGATACATGCAGAAAATAACAATTAACCATAGACCTAAACAGGTTAAGATTGTAGTGATCAGAGAAGCGATCTCTTGGGAGTCAGTTCCACAAGACAGCGGTTTGTGGGAAGAAGCTGCTTGAGTGGAACTTACATCTCACCAGGGAGATATGAAGGGAATGAGGGTGGTTTGCTACAATGTACA